GTTTCTCAGGCCAGATTATATACCTCTCTTTCTGTCATACCACTGTTTCTCAGGCCAGATGTACATACCTCTCTTTCTGTCATACCACTGTTTCTCAGGCCAGATGTACATACCTCTCTTTCTGTCATACCACTGTTTCTCAGGCCAGATGTATATACTTCTCTTTCTGTCATACCACTGTTTCTCAGGCCAGATGTATATGCCTCTCTTTCTGTCATACCACTGTTTCTCAGGCCAGATGTATATACCTCTCTTTCTGTCTTACCACTGTTTCTCAGGCCAGATGTATATACCTCTCTTTCTGTCATACCACTGTTTCTCAGGCCAGATGTATATACCTCTCTTTCTGTCATACCACTGTTTCTCAGGCCAGATTATATACCTCTCTTTCTGTCATACCACTGTTTCTCAGGCCAGATGTATATACCTCTCTTTCTGTCATACCACTGTTTCTCAGGCCAGATGTATATACCTCTCTTTCTGTCATACCACTGTTTCTCAGGCCAGATGTACATACCTCTCTTCTCTTTCTATTTTTTATCTCTTGTTCTCTCGCTCTCCGTCACACTGATTCTCTGTATGTGTTGTTGCGTTAATTGCTCCCCTGCTCAACACTCACTGTCATCCGTTAGCCTGTCTGGGTTAGCCTCCTTGGGTTAGCCTCCTTGGGTTAGCCTGTCTGGGTTAGGCTCCCTGGGTTAGCCTCCTTGGGTTAGCATACCTGGGTTAGCATACCTGGGTTAGCCTCCTTGGGTTAGCCTCCTTGGGTTAGCATACCTGGGTTAGCCTGTCTGGGTTAGCCTCCCTGGGTTAGCCTCTTAGTTATTTCTCTACCACAGTGATTGTAGTTGTCACTATGACATCTAGGTGACAGGATAAATACTGTCTGGATATTGACTCTCAAATATCATGCTTTTCTATTGACGACTTGTACTCAACAATACGTTTAAGGGCTGGATTCTATCAGATCCGCACTAGGCTTGTCCAGAATCTATCCGGGTCTCAGTGTTACAGTACTGGTATACTTATAGCAATTATATATCTACCCAGATATCACTTAGCTGGTTGCTACGTTTTTTATATATTGCTTTAGACTGATGGAACCTCATCCATATCTTAGTTGATATAATTGATAGTGTCTGTTACAATGGATCTTGGTGTGGTTTTGTGCCTGCTACTTTAAATGGGAAAAAATTAAGAGTGAAGTGTTTGGGTTAAAGGTCACACTCTCGCTAGCTCTCGATCTGATTACATTTCTTAATACGTTTTCCCTCTCTATCTCCGCCCAAATATGATCAGAACCAGCAGTAATGTGACGTTTAATAAGAAGGGCAAATTAAAACCGCTTAATGCAATTCCGTTGATTATATTGCGGCTTTGTGTGATTAAAACAGAGGTCATCCACTTGCGCAAGAAAGGGAAAGTAAAGTAATCATTTTTGTGATGGCTCTTTTCTCCGGGAAAATAATCATAATTTGAAATCAGGATAGAGAAATGTCATTAGATCAATCCCACCATGTTATCATGTTAAAAGGAGGACAATGTGAGGAGTGTGTATGATATATCTGTATGTACAGTCACCTGATATTAGTCTTTAGATGAAGTACCAGACAAGACGTGACTCACACCCATTCTATTTACACACGCTCACACACACACACAGTAAATGTTTGAGGAACTCTAAAGTGTGTAAATAAGTATAATATAACCTCTTGACTTATTCCACATTTTTCTGTGTTATAGCAGGCAGCGGTGTTATAGCAGGCAGCGGTGTTATAGCAGGCAGCGGTGTTATAGCAGGCAGCGGTGTTATAGCAGGCAGCGGTGTTATAGCAGGCAGCGGTGTTTTAGCAGGCAGCGGTGTTATAGCAGGCAGCGGTGTTATAGCAGGCAGCGGCGTTTTAGCAGGCAGCGGTGTTATAGCAGGCAGCGGTGTTATAGCAGGCAGCGGTGTTTTAGCAGGCAGCGGTGTTATAGCAGGCAGCGGTGTTATAGCTGGCAGCGGTGTTTTAGCAGGCAGCAGTGTTATAGCAGGCAGCGGTGTTATAGCAGGCAGCGGTGTTATAGCAGGCAGCGGTGGAAAAAGTACCCAATTGTCATACTTGGGTAAAAGTATAGATACCTTAATAGAAAGTTACTCAAGTAAAAGTGAAAGTCACCCAGTAAAATACTACTTGAGTAAAAGTCTAAAAGTATTTGGTTCTAAATATATCAGTATCAAAAGTAAATGTAATTGCTAAAATATACTTAAGTATCAAAAGGTACTGTAAATGTATGAGTAATTTCAAATTCCTTATATTAAGCAAAGCAGACGGCACCATTTTCTTGTTTTTAAAATGTACAGATAGCCAGGGGCACACTCCAACACTCAGACATAATTTACAAAAGATGCATTTGTGTTTAGTGAGTCTGCCAGATCAGAGGCAGTAGGGATGACCATGTGTTCTCTTGTCCACGAATTGGACCATTTTCTAAAACCCTGTTTTTGCTTTGTCATTATGGGGTATTGTGTGTAGATTGATGAGGAAAAACATTAATTTAATCAATTTTAGAATAAGGCTGTAACGTAACAAAATGTGGGAAAAGGGAAGGGGTCTGAATACTTTCCGAATGCACTGCATATTCCGGACTCATGCTCGTTCTGATATTTCATAATTTAAATGTTATGGATTTGTGGTTGTTGTGTATTGTTAGGTATTGCTGCATTGTTGGAGCTACATTCACAAGCATTTCGCTGCACCTGCAATAACATCTGTAAATATGTACAGTACCAGTCAAAAGTTTGGACACACCTACTCATTCCAGGGTTTTTCTTTATTTTTACTATTTTCTACATTGTAAAATAATAGTGAAGACATCAAAACTATGAAATAACACATATGGAATCATGTAGTAACCAAAAAAGTGTTAAACAAATCCAAATATATTTTATATTTGAGATTATTCCAATAGCCACCCTTTGCCTTGATGACAGCTTTGCACAATCTTGGCATTCTCTCAAATAGTTTCACATAGAATGCTTTTCCAACAGTCTTGAAGGAGTTCCCACATATGCTGAGCACTTGTTGGCTGCTTTTCCTTCACTCTACGATCCAACTCATCCCAAACTATCTCAATTGGGTTGAGGTCGGGGGATTGTGGAGGCCAGGTCATCTGATGCAGCCTGGAGGTGTGTTGGGTCATTGTCCTGTTGAAAAACAAATTATAGTCCCACTAAGCCCAAACCAGATGGGATGGCGTATCGCTGCAGAATGCTGTGGTAGCCATGTTGGTGAAGTGTGCCTTGAATTCTAAATAAATCACAGACAGTGTCACCAGCAAAGCACCCCCACACCATAACACCTCCTCCTCCATGCTTTACGGTGGAAATACACATGCGGAGATCATCCGTTCACCCACATGGCGGTTGGAACCAAAAATCTCCAATTTGGACTCCAGACCCAAGGACACATTTCCACCGGTCTAATGTCCATTGCTCGTGTTTCTTGGCCCAAGCAAGTCTCTACTTCTTATTGGTGTCCTCTACTAGTGGTTTCTTTGCAGCAATTCGACCATGAAGGCCTGATTCACACAGTCTCCTCTGAACAGTTGATGTTGAGATGTGTCTGTGACTTGAACTCTGTGAAGCATTTATTTGGGCTGGTAACTCTAATGAACTTATCCTCTGCAGCAGAGGTAACTGGGTCTTCCATTCCTGTGGCGGTCCTCATGACAGCCAGTTTCATCATAGCGCTTGATGGTTTTTGCGACTGCACTTGAAGAAACTTTAAAAGTTCTTGAAATGTTCCGTATTGACTGACCTTCATGTCTTAAAGTGATGATGGACTGTCGTTTCTCTTTGCTTATTTGAGCTATTCTTGCCATAATATGGACTTGGTCTTTTACCAAATAGGGCTATCTTCTGTATACCACCCCTACCTTGTCACAACACAACTGATTGGCTCGAACGCATTAAGAAGGAAAAAAGATCCACAAATTAACTTTTAACAAGGCACACCTGTTCATTAAATGCATTCCAGGTGACTACCCCATGAAGCTGGTTGAGAGAATGCCAAGAGTGTGCAAAGCTGTCATCAAGGCAAAGGGTGGCTATTTGAAGAATCTCAAATATATATATTTCATTTTTTTGTAAAGAAAAGTGGGGTTATTACATGATTCCATATGTGTTATTTCATAGTTTTGATGTCTTCACTATTATTCTACAATGTAAAAGGTAGTAAAAATAAAGAAAAACCCTGGAATGAGTAGTGTGTCCAATCTTTTGACAAGTACTGTATATGTGACCAAACCAATTTGATGACTAAGGGTTGAAAGATCCCCTCACTTCTCAGAAAGGGAGTTTTGTAATTGTGGAAGATTTCCCCCAATTCTGCTTCCTGTGTTTACCGTGACTCATCGTGACCAGCACTGCACACACACACACACACACACACAAAGACACACACAGCAGAAACGCACACACACACACACCCTATGCACATTACATTGTGAAAAAGCATTTCCTACCATACAGTAACAACAAAATGCCAACAGTAAAGTTGCCTTACAACTTTATTTACTGTAAATGAAATTCAAAAGTTCAAAGGTTTTGTAAACTATGTATTTATTCTTTGTTGTATATTTCCTTAATATTACAATGTCCTCGTTGTACAGTATCTGGAGCTAGCCATAGACCTCGTGTTGTTCCTATGTGAGAAAGCAGGAAGACAGAACCTTTGAGACCTAACTATCATTCTTCTCTTCCCGACAGCTCATTATGCCACCACAGCAGACCTCATGTTGTTCCTGTGAGAAAATAGAGAGATGCTCATAGACGGCACAAAGCACTTTTTCAGAATACAGCAGCATACTGTACGAAACCCAGGGATGCATTCATGAACACAATGTTTAAACGCGTTAGAAAAATCTTTGGGGTACCAATCAAACAAAAACATTATTTTGATGAATTCAATCATTAAAACAGCCTGGTACCCAGGCTACTCTAACACATTTTAGTTCTGTCAGTGAGTTATGAAGAAGAAGAAGAAGAAGAAGAAGAAGAAGAAGAAGAAGAAGAAGAAGAAGAAGAAGAAGAAGAAGAAGAAGAAGAAGAAGAAGAAGAAGAAGAAGAAGAAGAAGAAGAAGAAGAAGAAGAAGAAGAAGAAGAAGAAGAAGAAGAAGAAGAAGAACAAGAACAAGAACAAGAACAAGAACAAGAACAAGAACAAGAACAAGATTATTTGGTATAAATGGTTACATACCAAGTCAGACATGTGGTTCATGCCACATTGGAAGGTTGACTCTCCCCTGTCATATTTCTTGTTGTGTTCTATGACCAAGGTCCTACTCCCTAGCCAGATCTTCTTGCGCTTGGCTTCCTCCTCCTTGGATTTGTACTTCTTCCCTGTAAATACACACACTCTGTAAATGAGAATTAGAACTACTTTGTTAAACTGTGCAGTGTACAAGATTTTCAGTCTCATCACTGTATTCTTCGTGTTGTGTTGAAGTGTTCTGTCTACATGACGAACACAGGCTAGGATTGTTTTTCAGACAGGGTGTATTTTGATAAATTTTTGCCCAATTTATTTTCAAAGCCTGGGGAGAAGGAAAAATGTATTGTCTGTGAGAATTAACCTTATCATGATAATGCGACTGTGTGGTACTAATGCGACAATTATGCATCTACAAAATCAAATTTTGTTTAGAATTTTGTTGCACAAGCAATTGACTAATAGAGTCTTATAAGCCCATATGGCCTGGGTAACCAAATTGTGTATGCCACTGAAATAAAATACATCAAAAAATGTATTTGACCTATATCATTATTATAGAACGTAATCACGTTCTACCAGGTGCACAGAAAAAGAAAAACTCAATCAAAAGAAAAACTCTATCAAAAGAAAAACTCTATCAAAAGAAAAACTCTATCAAAAGAAAAACTATCAAAATAAAAAATCTATCAAAAGAAAACCTCCTGAGTGGCGCAGTGGTCTAAGGCACTGCATCGCAGTGCTAACTGTGCCACTAGAGATCCTGGTTTGAATCCAGGCTCTGTCGCAGCCGGCCGCGACCGGGAGACTCATGGGCGGCGCACAATTGGCCCAGCGGCGTCCAGGGTAGGGGAGGGAATGGCCGGCAGGGATGTAGCTCAGTTGATAGAGCATGGCGTTTGCAACGCCAGGGTTGTGGGTTCGATTCCCACGGGAGGCCAGTATATAAAAAAATAAAATTATTCACTAACTGTAAGTCGCTCTGGATAAGAGCGTCTGCTAAATGACGTAAATGTAAATGTATCAAAAGAAAAACTCCAGCACACTGGTAATCTTGATGCTTCCAACAATTTAATGGATCTTATTTAATCATTATTACCATGTTCTTTTTTCCAATCTTCAAACTCTTTATCCACATCTTGACTTTCACTTGCCATATTCACTCACAGCCACAACCAGGCAGAACAGAAGCTTCAAACTGAAAAACATGACAAGTTATGTCCTATCTGTCTGACAGTAGTTCTAAGTTCATGAGGCATTATACTCTTCATGAATCAATGGGTGCCTTCAGAAAGTACTCACACTCCTCGACTTTTTCTACATTTTGTTGTGTTACAAGGGGGGATTAAAATGGATTTAATTGTCAACGATTTCCACAAAATACTCTGTAATGTCAAAGTGGAAGACAAATTCTAACATTTGTAAAATAAAAATAAATAAAAATAATAATACTAATAATAATATCTTGATTACATAAGTATTCAACCCCCTGAGTCAATTCATGTTAGAATTGTGTCTTTCTGGGTAAGTCTCTAAGAGCTTTGCACACCTGGATTGTACAATATCTACACATTATTCTTAAAAAAATTATTCAAGTTCTGTCAAATTGGTTGTTGATCATTGCTAGACAGCCATTTTCAAGTCTTGCCATAGATTTTCAAGCCAATTTAAGTCCAAACTGTAACTAGGACACTCAGGAACATTCAATGACATCTTGGTAAGCAACTCCAGTGAATATTTGGCCTAGTGTTTTAGGTTATTCCCCTGCTGAAAGGTCAATTTGTCTCTCAGTGTCTGTTGGAAGGCAGATTGAATCAGATTTTCCTGTAGGATATTGCTTCTATTCTGTTTATTTTTATCCTAAAAAAAAATCCTTTGTCCTTGCCGATGACAAGTATTCCCATAACATGATGCAGCCACCACCATGCTTGAAAATATGAAGAGTGGTACTGAGTGATGTGTTGTATTGGATTAGCCCCAAACATAACGCTTTGTATTCAGGACATAAAGTTCATTTCTTTGCCACATTATAGGCAGTTTTACTTTAGTGCCTTATTGCAAAAAGAATGCATGTTTTCAAATATTTTTATTCTGTACAGGCTTCCTTCTTTTCACTCTGTCATTTACGTTAGTATTGTGGAGTAACTACAATGTTGTTGAGTCATACTCAGTTTTCTCCCATCACAGCATTTAAACTGTAATTGTTTTAAAGTCACCATTGGCCTCATGGTGACTTCCCTTCCTCTACGGCAACTGAGTTAGGAAAGACGCCTGTATCTTTGTAGTGATTGCGTGTATTGATACACAAAGTGTAATTAACAACTTCACCATGCTCAAAGGGATATTCAATGTCTGTTTTGTTTTTCATCTACCAATAGGTGCCCTTCTTTGCGAGGCATTGGAAAACCTCCCTGGTCTTTGTGGTTTAAATTTTGTATTTATTCACTGCTCGACTGATTGGACATTACAGATAATTAATTGTATGTGTGGGGTACAGAGAATATGTTAAATCATGTTAAACACATGCAACTTATGTGACTTGTTAAACAAATGTGCACTCCTGAACTTATTTAGGCTTACCATAACAAAGGGGTTTCAGCTTTTCATTTTTAATTAATCTGTAAAAAAAAATCTAAAAAACATAATTTCACTTTGACATTATGGAGTATTGAGTGTAGGCCAGTAACACAACAAAGAGTCAACAGGTGTGAATACTTTCTGAAGGCACTGTATATAATTAATTGAATTGACCATAGAACAGCTGTACATATTGCAGATTCTACCTTTAATTAAGCTATTAGTATAAACGTTCCTCGGACATTATTGTCATACTCTATGAGAGATAAAATATTGGGTTATTTCCCTTACCTTTTCCAGAAAAAAGTGCAGAAGCAAAAACAGGTTTTCCAGTAAGCAGCGCAGATACTAAGTGATGAACGGAGGGAGAGGGGGCAGGGGATGGACGTCAGAGAGGAAGAGTGACCATATATGATCAATGGAGATAAAATTGTATTTATTTGGCAGCTAATGGCAAAATATAACATTGGGCAATCTTTATTCTCATAGTTGAAACACCAGATTTGCCATGTAAACTGCCAAAAGGGTATTTGTGAAACGGAATCGAATAAATATATCTATTTTATCAGATACACTATGTGTGTAGGTTACTATTTCTCTAACGCTACAATCCCTTCGTGGACTTGACTCATTCCTAAAGATGCTGGATGTAAGCATTTTGTGTTGTGGATTATTAATCTAACTATCATAATATCAAAGTATAGCACACAGTAGGGTTGTACTGTACAAAACAATGAGAAATACCTTCTGAAAAGCTGTGAATCTTGTCTTTTCTGCTGTATCACCCAACAGACAAAATGAAAGTTAGAAAATAGTACCGCCCACTTCCACTTCCTGAAGCAGAACCATATATATATATATATATATATATATATCCACATAGAACGGCTATGGCTTAATACACATTGCTTTCTATGAAAATAACCCTTCTATAAAAAAATATTTATTCGCTGTAATGCATTGGAGCGTGCTGCTGCTGTGGTGAGATACTGTAACTCGATCCGTTGGTACAGTATATGACGATACCAGCCCTTATTTCAAAGAGCGCTTGTATTGCAGTTAATTGAGTCTTTGATTTGATACATAAAATATATTTTAGTAGTAAACAGGCAAACAACGAGTCCCAGACAGTTCACAATAAAACATACCAGAGGGGAGCATCGTTTACTTGGCTACCTAAATTATTGGGATCATCTGGTTCTCATTTTGTGTCACCTCTATCAGAATCCTATTGTACTACCTTTTTCCTATTGGAAATCAAAAGTAATCCGATTGGATCCTATTTTTCGGTATTGGTATTTTATTAGGATCCCCATTAGCTGTTGCAAAAACAGCAGCTACTCTTCATGGGGTCCACACAAAACATGAAACATGACATAATACAGAACATTAATAGACAAGAACAGCTCAAGGACAGAACTACATAAAACGTTTTTAAAGGCACACGTAGCCTACATACACACAAACTATCTAGGTCAAATAGGGGAGAGGCATTGTGCCATGGTGTTGCTTTATCTGTTTTTTGAAACCAGGTTTGCTTGTTTATTTGAGCAATATGAGATGGAACGGAGTTCCATGCAATAATGGCTCTATATCAGAGCACATGAGCGGAGTGGAGCGGGAGCGAGGTGCGTGAGCGGACGGATTTTGAACAGAGCGCAGAGCGGCATTTTTAAAAGGACGGAGCGTCGCCCTATGTCCCGCTCCAATTTCGCTCGCTCACACCACGAGTCTGAAGCATGCTCATTGCTCAAGCCTGACCCAGAATCCATCTGTTTAATTTAATTTGTGTCGTCCATGAATTTGTATTTTATAGAGCGAGAGGAGCAGCAGCAGCAACAAGAGAAAAGGGTTGAGGAATTCAAAAGTGTATTCACTGCACGCAAAGGCCCAACCATAACAAGGGAGAGAAAAAGAGAGCTGGATGTAGCATTTTTTAAAATGATTTTCATGGACTATGAACCGCTGAGTAAAGGAGAACGCGAAGGGATGCAACACTTCGCCAGCGCAGCTCAACCGGGCTACACCCCCCCCCCAAGAAACTATGATAAATTAGTACTTTACTTTGTCAAATTTACATCTGAGATGCCCCATTCACATGCTTCAGCTGGCGATCAAAAACGCCTTTAACGAGCACGACAACATTAATAGGCTGTTAGTGAAAGTCGGGCACCTGGTGAAAAGTGTACGCAAGAGCACAGAGGAAACGGACCAATTAGGTGTCCGCCCCACAAATGCCTGCGCCATTCGATGGAGCAGCCAGCTGCGGATGATTCAGTCGTTCATCCGGTTGTTCCAAAAAGACCCGTTATGGCAAAACAAACTCAAGTCTAATGTTGCTAACATCACCCTGAATCAAGTACGGCAGCTGACGCACCTTGTCAGTGTGCTGACACCACTAGCAGATCTCACAGACAAAATGCAGAAGGAGCTGGGGAACCTGGGGATGATCCTCCCTGCTGTCACAGAAATCAAATCCCTGCTCACCGATTACACTCACGCTGCACTTCCAATGGGCATCGCTGCTTTTGTAGAAACATTGGCAAACAACGTGTCAATTCGCTATGGAATATACTATACTGATTAACATCTCATTTTAGCGTCAGTGTTAGATCCCCGTTTCAAGACAGAATTGATAATCCGAGATGAGTCTGTATGCAACAAATTCGGGGAGATAAAGTAAGGCTGTGGTTTAAGCTAAAAGTGAAATACATGCAGATTTTGTTCCTTTTTTGGAGTGAGCGGGGGACGATTTGAGTGGAGCGCGATGCAAACTGCGTTGAGCGCAAAGCGATAATGAACGGACTGGCCTGATGTGGCTTTGAGTGGGGGGAGCGGAGGGGTGAACAGCTCCGTGAGCGAGGAGCTGAGATTCTCACCACTCCACTCCGCTCATATGCTCTGCTCTATATAATACTGTACGCTTTCTTGAATTTGTTCTGGATTTGGGGACTGTGAAAAGACACCTGGTGGCATGTCTGGTGGGGTAAGTGTGTGTGTCAGAGCTGTGTGTAAATTGACTATGCAAACAATATGGGATTTTCAACACATTAATGTTTCTTATAAAAATAAGAAGTGATGCAGTCAGTTTCTCCTCAACTCTTAGCCAAGAGAGACTGGCATGCATAGTATTTATATCAGCCCTCTGATTACAAGACGAACAAGACGTGCCGCTCTGTTCTGGGCCAGCTGCAGCTTAACTAGGTCTTTACTTGCAGCACTGGACCACACGATTGGACAATAATCTATAGATTTTTGATAAGTTTTGTAGGATTTTGTCACCCCAATCAGAATCCTAAAATAAAAATGTTTCTTAATTGAACCCAATAAATTATAGTTTGTTGTCATAAATTCCAGTACAATACAACAACATTCCAAATGAAATCCAATTGTATTTGTCACATGCGCCGAATATAACAGGTTTAAGGTAAACCTTACTGTGAAATGATTACTTACAAGCCCTTAACCAACAATGCAGTTCAATAAATAGTTAAGAAAATATTTATTAAATAAACTAAAGTAAAAATAAATAAGTAACACAATAAAATAACAATAACGAGGCTATATACAGGGGGTACCG